ACCCTAAACCCTAAGTGAACCCTGAACCCTAAACCCTGAACCCTAAACCCTTTGTTGATGTGACTTGAATCGGACTATCAGCCGCTACGACTGGTAATCGGGGGTCTCGCTGGAGAAGTACTATAAATACTTCGTGTTAGTGAACTACGTAAATCGTGTGTCGTGTTGCAATGCTTTATTTATATGTTGTTGTTTTTCTAGTTGTATTTTTAATGACCCTAGTGTCATTATGAACTTATGAATTTCATTATGGATTTCTAGCGAGTTCGGGGTCGATTGGACGAAGATCGGGCGCGAGGCAAGTCAATCGTCGGTCGCCGGCACCGTTCTTCCGTCGTCGGCTAACCTCCCGTCGCCCTCAATCGTCGGAAAACAAGTAAGTTTACTTTTTCCGGCCAGTTTTCCAGTTTTCCGGCGAAAAACACGGCGGGCCGAAAAAAAATTGCGGCCCGAACGTCGCCGAGCCGAAAAAAATTTGTGGGCGGGACGACGGCCGGCCGAAAAATTCTTTCGGCCCGGCGACGCCACGGCCGCAAATTTTTTTCGGCCGGCCGACGAACACGCCGCCGGAAAATTTTTGGCCGGCGTGTTCGGCGACCGGCCGAAAAAAATTCTTTCGGCCCGACGTCGCTCCGGCCGCAAATTTTTTTCGGCCGGCCGCCGGAAAATTTTTGGCCGGCGTGTTCGGCGACCCGCCGAAAAAAATTTGCGGCCGTGGCGTCGCCGGGCCGAAAGAATTTTTCGGCCGGCCGTCGTCCCGGCCACAAATTTTTTTCGGCTCGGCGACGTTCGGGCCGCAATTTTTTTCGGCCCGCCGTGTTTTTCGCCGGAAAACTGGAAAACTTACCGGAAAACTTGAAAACTGGCCGGAAAAAGTAAACTTACTTGTTTTCCGACGATTGAGGGCGACGGGAGGTTAGCCGACGACGGAAGAACGGTGCCGGCGACGGAGGCACTGGGAAGGAAGGGAAAATTCAAAATTTAAATTTTTTTTTTTTACCGGCGACGGAGGCACTAGGAAGGAATAGAAAATTCAAATTTTGAATTCTTTTCTTTTTTTTAGTTGGCGGCAAATAGCAATTTGATTGGCGGCAAATAGCCGTTCACATATTAAAACTCCAGCATCAAAGTGGTGAATTGGGTTGAAGATAGTCGGTGAGATGATTTATGTTTAAATTAAAATCATTATTAAAAGTGAATACGAGCCCAACGCAATACTCATATGAGTTATGATAATACAATTAAATTACCCAATGAATCCTCATCCTAGCTAGCATAGGGGTGAGAAACAGGAAACGGATATTTGAGTATACCCATATCCGTTCCGTTTTTTGAGGGTTACATGTACCAAATATCGGTAATTTTTTATGGGATGAGACATGGGATCAAGAAATTCTATAATGGGTACCCGCGGGTTACCCGTTAATACCCATTTGAGTATTACGGGTACCCGTACTACCCGTTAACTATGTAGAGATTAATTTAAAATTTTAGTTGCTCATTTAATTTCGATCCCCGCAGCCCTCGTGATTCTCTGTCCGATCACCCGCATCTCTTTCTTTTGACGGTGGGAAAACGCGGAGGAATGAGGAATAATAATTAATAAAAACCTTTCCACTAATCAGCCAATAATAAGCATGAGCACTTCTACTATGCTATATAGCATTGGTGCTTTAATGTACAACCCAAAGTTGTACCATAATATTAAATGTATAAGTTTAGGTTGTACCATAAAGCAATTTGTACCATTATGTTATGGTACAACTTTACAACTTGAAATTGTACCATCACATAAAGGTACAAGTTCAAGTTGTACCATAAAAGAATTTATACAAAAAGTATAGGTACAATCTGAAGTTGTACCATAACGTAGATGTACAATTTTAAGTTGTACCATAAAGGTAAAAACCTATAGAACCAATACTATATAGCATTGTAAAATTTCTTTAATAAGCATAGGTTTGATTTAGTTTTATTAGTTATAATGACTAAGAAATGGAATGGGATTAGTTGCTAACCACTTAATGGGTTAGCAACATACTAACTAACCTAATAGCTACTAAATTAAAATAATGAACGTAGGGTCAAAACTAATTGAAGGATATTTTAGTAAATATCACCACAAACCCTAATATAAATACTATATTTTCTTTTGTCAAACCCTATGCCGTCTATCTCCCACGTCTCTCTCTCCCTTTTCATCTCTCACAAGATTCCGCCATTGCTCTGCCTCTTCTATCTCTGTCACTATTTCAGCTGAAGCTCTGTCTCATTTCTCTTCAACACCATTCCGGCCAATGAGAAATGAAGACAGTTGCGCTTGCTAGGGAAGAGGACAAATCGACGATGGAGGAGAAACGAAAAAAACGACGCTCACAGTCGACGGCGGAGGAGAAACGACAATGGCGCTCGCTCGGGAAAAGGAGAAGCCGCTGGAGAAGATCTGCATCGCAGAGGTGGCCTCTCCCCCACAGGCAATACGAATGGATCCAATCAACTTGAGCGGCGGGCTGCCGACATCGACTAGCAGCGACTTGATTGACTGAGTAAAGATGTAATAGTGTTTTCTTGTTCGGAATTGTGTAGTAGGTGTGAGTATTAGAAATGGATAATCAGTAGTGTTTTCTTCTATGAGTTTCTTGTCACCATACGCTACACTCTACTAACAAAACACTACACACACATAAAAACCCTACACATTCAGGCAACACACACATTCGTAAAAACGCTACTATCAAAACGTCAATCGCAAAACGCTACAAACGCATTCGTAAAACCGCTACACACGCATTAGTAAAAACGCTACTACTAATATATTGCACTTTAATATTGACGAAACTACATAGTCCTAGAAAGAAAGACTAATAATAATTTTTTCAAATAACAACCGTAAAATCCCATTAAATCCGCCCACTTTTCCAATAAATCCGCCCACTTTCCGTAAATCATATTAATTTCATATTTTTTAATTTTCTTCTTATTTCCTATTATACCCTTTCTTTAATTATAGCCATTTAATAAAAAATAAAATTAAACCATTTAAATATTAGTTAGTACGGTGCTAACCCCCTATAGGATTAGCACCGTAGCTTGAACCTGTTCCTTACAGCAGCAGGGTAGCAATGCGGAATGTGAGCCATTTCTTGTACAATTCCACCGTTTGACAGAATGTACCACTGTGAATAACAATTTTGAAATGTTTATTGAATATGGTAAGAAAGAAAATGAGATAGTCAATCTATTAACGAACTAATAAGTGACCATTTGTAGACGATATGCCTCCTTCCTTTCAGGCTGGTTGTTTAGTTTAACTGAAAAGAGGCCTGAGGTTAGGTTATGCAGGAACAGCCGTACGTACCCAACCAGAGAAAGCTATATTGGGTCCCCAGGTTACTCTCGATAGAGGTATAGTATAAACAGGGTCGGTACACAGAAGACAAATAGAAGAATTTCGATAGAGGGTTATGCCAATAATGGTGGGAGGACAATCAACATATGATGTCCCTTCCTTTTGATCTTGATATCCGATCTTCATCTTCTCCTTTCATTACTAATTCTTTTATGCATTTGAGCTCACCTTCGAATCCACTTATAAATATGGCGATGCTCATTCCATCTGCCTTTTCCACAAGACCTATGATCGAGAAAGACAGTGGAGCGCTAATGGGCAATAACTTAAATTCCGCTCTCGCTACGGAGCAGCTGCAGTCGGAAGGAAGAGGCCGCAACCGGAGTGGAGGTGGTGGAGGAGATCATCAGACTTGTTCGCCCAGCACGTGTTCGATCATTTTTTATTGGACGGGTATGTACGGGTAGTTTGGGTACCCGTTATCCGTCCCGTACGGCTAACGGGTACCCGTTAACCCTTACGGGTTTGGGATATAGGATGGACTTGACTCTCCAAACGGGATTGGATACCCGTTTCAAACGGGACGGGTATCTCGTCCCGTCCCATTGTCCACCCCTAAGCTAGCACACTAGCTTGAGTCTTTATCGGCCACGATGAGGCGAGCCACCAACAATAGATGGACCCCCTTGGACTTACCACCTCACACACAGTGGCCGAATTCAAGCCAATTATTCACTCATTGGTAATTTTACCCAAGCACAAGTAAACTCATTAAGTATGGGTAGGGTATAGGTGGAGTATATATGAGTTTGATGTTTCGAAGATGAGTTTGGATATGATATGAATACTCCTTCAATACTCTAAATGTGCATGAGTTGGATATGAATACATATTTTCTTGATGTTGTTTTAACTTACACATACAAAATTTGGATCTATTTGTAAAACTTATAAATTTTAGGCATCAAAACGTAATGCATAAAATTTTTAGGTACTAAAATGTAATTTCCATCATTATTTTGTTGACTTATATGCAAGAGAATTAAATTTGGGTCAAAATCTAATGATCTATTAAGTTTATGTACCAAACTGTAATTTTCATATAGGTATGGGTACAAACCCAACCCAAATTAAATAAATGGGTATGAGTATAAACTGATCATATCCAGTTACCATATATTTGGATTTCATATACAATCCAATTGAGATAGATAGTAAAATACTCGTAGATTTAGGCGAAATTGCCATCCCTATCTTTATCATTTGTTCATTCATTTTTTTTTTATAAATCAATTGTCGTTTCTCGAAGCTGACTTTAAACACATATATACTCTATAAGTAATCAATACAATTATTCTGTAAAATTACTTTCAAAAATAGATTATGGTTACACTAAAGTAGGTTAAATGACATGTTTTAATTTTTTTCGATTAGGTTTACGTTTACCACTATAGAATCGTTGCTAGTAGTATTATCGGATGTCCCCGAAGGGACTAGATATACAAATATTAAATCATGAACATTGATTTGTATTTGCCCTTAATTAGCGATCATCAATAAAATAAAAAAACTTTTGCCTACAACGAGTTATTTGGCAATCAATATTCTGCACACAAAAACATGAAGAAGATACGGAAAACACACCCCTATGGCAAGATTAAAAAGATTAATTATTAATTACAAATTCTCATGATGAGAGTCTTCGTTGTCACTCGTCAGAGGAGGTAGAGGAAATTGGGTTCCGGCACTGCTTAGACAATAGAAATAATGATGATTTCCTTGGGAGAGAATTTGCTCCTATTCATAGGGAAAACATAGAATTTCTCTTCCTCGCCCGAGTTGATCGTCGTCTAATAGTGATGATCTTGAAGGGCAAAGTTGGGAGCTTCAGTTAGTCGAAAGAACTATATAATTGAAAGAAAGGTGGCTTGTATATATATACTAATGGATGTATGTAATTTTTATACACATGTGTTTTCAAAATATTCTAGCGGCTAGGTACAAGAGAATAAAGGAATTGAGACTTTCACAGAGAGCTTCAAACTTGCATTAATTAAGCTAATGGCGGAATGGAGCAATCGTTAGCTAGGCAGAATTCATACGCTGCCTACCGTCACTCCATGCCCAAACAATGTCCCTGAGATCTTCCCTTAGTTGCTTCTCTACAATGGGCCAGTGTTCTTTGGGATCCCCACCACAACTTTTCAGCTCCACCAGGTGACAGAAAGGAGTTAACTCAAAAACCTCAGCATCTATGGATAAAGGCCTTCTACCTTCAACCGATGCCTCCAGTATCAGCAACCCTCTATCTCTCTTCTTAACCTGCAGCTTCAGATGTGTGGCCATGTCTTCCAGCTTTGACATTATAGTCGATGCAGACTGCAACGACACAAACTTCAGGGCTTCTTTGTTCTGATTACTCTCAGCAAACAAACCAGACAAGTTTAGCCCATTTGAACAAGAGATGATGTCAAATGCATTCAACCTGGTGGGTTTCCGCAACTCTTCACCTTTCCCTTCTTCACCACCGATTTCGCGAGGGATGTTACGTGTGAAATCATTCTTCAAGCACACCGATTGGGATTCAGGCTTTTTTCTGAACCATGGATCCTCCATGATTTCTGAGATGGTGGTTCGAGTAACCGGGTTAGGGTCAAGCATCCTTGAGAGCAAGCGACATACTTCGGGTGCAAACCATGTTGGTAACTTGTAATCGGCATTGCTGGCTTTCCTGTACATAACAATCACATTGGCATCATGGAATGGGAGATAGCCAGCAAGCATGACATACAAAATCACCCCACAAGACCAGATGTCAGCTTTCACGCCATCATAACCTCGTCCATAGATAACCTCAGGAGCAACATACGAAGGGGTTCCACAAGTTGTACGTAGTAAGCCATCTTGGCACTTGGATTCGACAAGAGCACTCAGCCCGAAATCTGACACTTTGAGGACTCCATTCCCATCTAATAGCAAGTTCTCGGGCTTCAAATCCCTGTGGAACACACCTTTGCCATGGCAAAATTCAACTGCATTGATCAGCTGCCGAAAATACTTCCTAGCTGCATCTTCTTTTAACCTTCCTTTGGCCACCTTGTTGAAGAGCTCGCCACCTTTAGCATACTCGATAACAAAGTAAATCTTTGTTTTGGAAGCCATGACTTCGTAGAGCTGCAACACATTTAAGTGTTTGACTCGTCTCATGACTGATATCTCTCGCTTGATGTTGTTAGTCAGCCCAGCTTTCAGAGCCTTTTCTTTGTCGATGACCTTAATGGCCACACTTTGGCCAGTTTTAAGGTCTCTTGCATGATGAACTTTGCCAAAATTTCCTTGGCCTAATAATCTCCCAACTTCATACCTCTCCAACAGGACTCTGTCTTTGTTTTCCATTTCTAGTATATGTAGGCTGTGCTTAACCGGTAGTAGTAAGTATATACAAACTTTATAGACAAGGAGCCTCAGAAATCTGAGAACTCGTCCACCTTCACTGATGACATGCTTCAGAAAGGCATGTGTCAATGATCAACTGGTTCTTGTCAAGTGAGAAACAACTAGCTGCTTTTAAACTAATTCCACAGAGTAAAAACCAGAACGAAGAATGAATTTCACAGGTTTGAAACGAGTTATCAGACTTCCAGCACATTTTGCCGCATGCCCAGGTGGTGTTCTGGCATAAAAGCTGCAGGGTAGTGGATAGCCAGGTGTGGAAACACACACTGCTGATAGATCTGGGCACAACAACAAAAAAAGCGTCATAATTAGCCCATGAACGGATGCAGTGATATATTGGTGAAGGAACCAAATTATGAATGGATAAACTCATTCTTTTGATGTATAAACAAGGCATCTGATAAGAGATAAGACTATAATCTAGTCTTATAGTATAGAGACGGCAAATGGGGATTTAGAACCCATGCATATGTGGATTACTATAACTGCTTGGAAGAAGAACTACAAACCCGGTGTTGATTTCCAATCAACAACATGTACCGGGGATCTTAATTACAGCATGGCTCTAATTGAATGGAGAATGGCATTCCTGATTGCGGATCAGACAGACTAGCCTGGCAGTTAACAGATCAATAAACCGGCAATGGAGAAATGCAAAGAAACATCCACGCAAATCAAAGTCAATGAAGTTGCCACATGTTCGATGAACTAAAAACAGGACTAGTTTCTAACAAGCAATAGTTCTGGAATTTGAACCAAGGCCACAGAGTCAAACTGATTCTAAGAAAGAAACAACAGCGAAACCCAGATCGAAAGGCAACAATGCCAAAACCCCACACTTCTAACACCGTCCAGAAAACCCAGAGAAGAACACAAAAACAACAGATGAATTGTAACAGAAGAAAGAAAGCCCAGCTCATAAATCAAAACAAAGTAAACATGCGTAAGGGAAAACAAACCCAGATAAGCATTTGGGGGGAAATCACGATCGTCACCAAGAAACTCAGGAGGGGAAATCGGACTAACCAACATAGGAGAAGAAGCTGCAGAGGCTGGCAGCGGAGAGAAGAAAGAGAGACAGACGAAAACAAAAACTTGGGTTGTCCCGAATTTCAAAGACGTTACCTTTATGAAGAAAGGAAGGCTTCTCACTTTGGGAGAATGCAGTCGTAACGTTCACGGAAACTGAAACGGAAGGGGAAACCTCAAACCTCCGCCCGCAAGCGACGTGTTGTATACCCAATGTAAGGAGACAGACTTGATCTTCTTCGCCCTCTTCTTTCTTCTTCTAGCTCAGCTTTTCTCGTCTTCTCTCTAGTTTACTACTACTAGCAGTAGTAGTTGCAATAATTTATAGAGTTATACCTGGGGTAGGGTCGAAGATTTTGCTTTGAATGTGATGGCGACTTGAAATTGTGGGAGAGCCACGGAACAGAACAACAACAACCCACAACACCTCAAATCTCAATTTCTGAACAAAATATCGAATCCTCCTCCTTGATCCTTTCTTTCTGGCTGTGGCTAGGCAGAGGGGACGTGATTCAAGATCAAGAGAAAAGAGAAGAGATTATATGTAATAAGTTAAGTTGGGAGACTAATAACCACGATAATGACAAGGATTAAGGATAATTATGAAGCAATTAGGAAGGAAGGAAGGAAGCAGGGAAAAGACGAAATTGGTTTCAAACGTTTTGTGCGTTTTATTGATTGGAGAAACGCGGAGGAAGAATAGAGAATAGAAAGGTATCCCCGCCGCAGTGTAATGTATTATGGGAAGAAAGGGGAAAAGAGAGCATTTGGAATATATATAGATAGAATAGATGGATCGTTAAGGAGATCTTCCCTCGGCGATCAAGGGATTTGATTAGTTATTATTAGGTGGCATGGCTTGGCCTTGGCTAATGGCTACTACCAGCAATATCACAACCGAACTGTTTGCAATCAGACTGGATTTTGGCATACCGGAGAGTACTGGTTCAACTTATTGCAACCACTTAACGGTAATCCAGCCGCGGATAAGATTTTAGATTAGTTGCGACTAACATCACGATTGTTTGAACATGAAGATTTGAGTATTTTTTTTTATTATAATTCATCTGTATTCCAAATCAAAGTTCGGTGACTACATTGCTCTCTTTGAAAAGTAAAGGGACTAAAATGATATGTGACCTTTCAAGCCAAATTTCGGTTTCCTCGATTCTGCATTTCAGTCTTGCCAGCTCATGAGCACAACCATTTCCTTCCCTCTTCCAGAATCTCCATTCAACATTTCCACTCTCCTCCGCAGCATCTCGAATTTCATCACAAACCACCGCCACTTCCATTTCAGTAGTCTCCCGTCGATTGAGCTTCTGGATTAAAGATTGGCAATCCGACTCCAACAACAGCGCTTGGGGTTGGTGTGCTCCAACCAATTTCAATCCCCACAACATCGCCTTCGCCTCTGCCATTTCAATCGGCCATCGCGGTTAAAAGATCATGAAAATTGGGGAACCAATCCCCTTCGGGGCATTAATGAGAATTCTAAGTTATAACTGCCACGGATTGGGGAAGAAGCGTGCACTTAAATCGCTCGATTCACTTATTAAACGAGTTTCCCCGCAATTAGTCTTCTTGACGGAGACTAAGTAGAAAAAGGATGAGAATGAAAGTACTAGGAGAGAGTTGGGTTTTGAGGAAGGAGATAGTTGCTCCACCGACCGATCTCGTGGAGGCCGGACGGGTGGAGTGAGCCTCTGGTGGCAGGAGGGGATGAATGTCACAGTTATGTCTATTTCCCTAAATCATGTTGATGCGTTGATAGTGGAAGATAATGGTGATATATGGTGATTCTCGGGTATTTATGGCTGGCCGGAGAATCAAGATAAGTATAAAGCCTGGGAAGTGGTCGGCTGGCACAACAATGGTCGAGAGCACGGGTATGCTGTGGGGATTTTGACCAAGTGTTGTCACCGGCGAAAAAAAAAACAGGAGGGAGAGCAGCAGTGGAGCAAGGAATGTCTGATTTCCAAAATTGTCTAACTGACTCGGGCCTTCAAGATTTGGGGTTCAGAGGTCATCAATTTACATGGGAAAAATGACCGGTAGGAGTAAACTTTATAGAGGAAAGATTGGACCTGTTCACTGCCTCAGACGAATGGCGAGCAAAGTTACCAAAGGTGAGGGTAAATCACCTAGCCAAGGAACGCTCGAATCATAGGCCCATATTGTGTGACACAGAGGGGGATGAAGATGAAGAACCCCGATGTGGTTGGTCGTTCCAGTTTGACCCTTACTGGACTCGCCACAAGCAATGCCGAAAAGTAGTAGAAGAAGCATGGTGCCCTCCAATCCAGGAGGATTGTCTAACAAAATTGTTATCTTGCAGGACTCAACTGGATAAGTGGAGCAGGCGGGCATTCCCGAATTTCCATAAACAAAAGGCACGAATCCAGCGAGCCTTGGAGGTCTTGGGAAGGTCAAAGTGCACCTCAATAGTGGTGGACCAGATCAAACAGCTCGAGTTGGAGATGGACGAAGTGGAGAGAAATGACGAATCCTATTGGAAACAACGTTCCCGAGCTGACTGGTTGAAGGGCGGAGATCAAAACACTAACTTCTTTCAAAGGAAGGTGTCGGCTCGGAGACAAAGGAATACAATAAAGAAGCTCAGGAACGAAAATGGTAGCTGTGCGACGGGTAGGAGCAGCTGTTTTGCTGTTTAATTATCCATTTTGGCTGTTTGTTCACTGCAAGGGAGGCGCCTGAACACACCCCAGTCCTGGACTCCATTGTGAGTTCAGTCACTCCATATCAGAATGAAGCTCTTTGTCGGCCGTTTGAGCAGGAAGAGGTACCGACTGCATTGAAGCAAATGCGGAAAAGGAAAGCCACAGGCGCCGATGGTTTATCAGTTCTCTTTTACCAAAAGTACCGGAATATCATTGGAAATGAAGTCTCGGGATTGGTGATCAAAATATTGGAGACAGCAGAGATACCGAATCAGCTTAACCACACTCTCATCACCCTAATTCCAAAGGTGAAGGCGCCAACTTCACCAAAAGAATTTCGGCCGATTAGTCTGTGTAATGTTATTTATAAGCTGGTGGCAAAGGTTCTTGCGAACAGGCTGAAGATTGTTTTAGACCAGGTGATCTCTCTAAAGAAGAGCACTTTTGTCCTAGGTCGATACATTACAGACAACATAATGGCAGCATTCAAGTGTTTTCATACGATGAAAAAGAAAAAGAAAAGTGGTGGTCAGGGATTTTTTGCTGCAAAGATTGACATGGCTAAAGCGTATGATAGGGTCGAGTGGAACTTTTTGGAGAAGGTGATGTGTCGAATGGGCTTTGCCGAAAACTGGAGAAAGCTGATAATGATGTGTGTGACGACTGTTACTTACTCTGTGTTGGTTAATGGACATCACTCACCAACCTTCACCCCCAGTCGGGGTTTGCGCCAGGGAGATCCTCTATCGCCATACCTTTTTCTCCTGTGCGCTGAGGGTCTATTTGCGTATACAAAGAAGGTGGCCGAGGCGAAACAGATTCACGGAATTCAACCGGCTAGAGGAGGGCCGACTGTGAGCCACCTTTTTTCGCTGATGATTGTGTGTTTTTTGGCAGGGAAAACTTGCAAGAAAGTGTGTCATTAAAAGAGATTTTGCAGGCTTATGAAAAGGAATCCGGGCAGCTAGTCAGTTTCCCGAAGTCGGAAGTCTCTTTCAGTGGCAATGTCAGTCCGCATCAAAAGCTCTCAGTTGCTGGTACACTAGGCATGAAAGTGGTTGAGAAGCATGACAAGTACTTGGGTTTACCGACGGTAGTAGGAAGGTCGAAGAAGGATATTTTCTAGGGAATAAAGGAACGAGTTTGAAAGAAAATGAAAGGCTGGAAGGAAAGGGATATATCGGTGGCGGGAAGGGAAACACTAATCAAAGCAGTCGGCCAAGCAAATTACTTATGTCATGTCAGTCTTTCGTGTGCCAAACAACGTAAAAAGTGAGGTCCACAGCCTGATCCTAAATTTCTATTAGGGACAACGAGGCTCAGAACGTCGAGCTCATTGGGTAAGCAGGGAAGGTATGTCGACGAAAAAGGCAGATGGCGGTTTGGGACTTCGTGATTTGGTTGGCTTCAACACTGCCATATTAGCGAAACAGCTATGGCGGCTTCACCAGCGAGAAGACTCCCTAGTTGCTCGAATCTTTCGGGCAAAATATCAGAAAAAGGACTTTGTTTTGGATGCGCGGGTTGGTCACCGTCCTAGCTTCATTTGGCGGAGTTGATTAAGCGACGGGAGTTTCTTAATGAGGGGATGGGATGGAGGATTGGTAATGGCTCTAGCGTGAAGATTTGGGGAGATAAATGGCTTCCTTCCGAATGAGTGAGCTATGTTGAGACTTCCCCGAGAGGACTCCCAGTTGATGCCACGGTCAGAGACTTAATTTGTGCATATGAGGAGCGATGGGATGAGAACTTGCTGGATAGCTGCTTTACCAGAGATACGGCCGCCCTTATCCATCAAATTCCTTTGCACGAGCTAGGAGAGCGGGACTGCCTGATATGGGCAGGGAGTAAAACTGGAGATATACGATGAAGGAAGGTTATTGGAAGTGGGCACAAGATCGAGTGGAGCAGGGGGCATGGCCGCAGGTGGGTGAAAAGGATGTGTGGAAGAAGATCTGGGCGCTAAAGATCCTGCCAAAGGTTAAGCATTTCCTTTGGAAATTCGCTAGGGGAATCCTCCCAACGGGTGCCAATCTTTGCACTAAGAGCATAAGGAGAGGTGACCGTTGTGCTTTCTGTCACAGCCGGGAAACCCAAATTCATTTCTTCCATGAATGCCAATGGACATCTAGATTGTGGAGACCTTCATCGCTTGCTCATTGCTTCACGACTCAACATAGGAACTCATGCTACTCGTGGTTCAAAAATGAGAGGGACTCGGTTGATGAAGGTGACCAATTTACTTGGACCAATAAAAGAATGGGGCGGCCTGTATTCGTGAACGGTTGGATAGAGCTCTTTGCTCTCAGAACTGGTTAGACAGGTTCCCTGATACTCTTCTTAAACATTTCACGGATCAAGGTTCTTATCATTGAGCTATAATTCTCTCCGATAAGCCCTAGGTTAGGAGTAGTCGACCTCTCTTTCGCTTTGATTCTCGCTGGGCAGATATAACCCGGAGGTCAAAGCGATGGTGACTTATGTTTGGGCTGAGGAAGTGTCTGGTAACTCGATGTACCTGCTATGGGAGAAATTGAAGAAGCTTCGCCACCTTCTTTATGACTGGAGCAGAGCAGGTACTACGAATTCGCTCAGATATTAAGACACTCCAGGCTGAAATTGATAGGGTCAAGCTATGTCGTCCGATTAATTGGGAGGAGGTTAGGGTGTTGGAGACTGAGCTTAATAGACAATAGGAGGCTGAGGAGGCCTACTGGAAGCAACAGTCGAGAGTTTGCTGGCTTAAGAAGGGGGATAAAAATTCTTCGTATTTCCACACGGTCACCCGGACTCGTCGAAAACGCAACTTCGTTGCAGGACTTCACAACGAGGAGGGTGAGTGGGTTACGGGGGAAAAAGGGAAGGCTGATATTACGACAAATTTTTATCAACATCTCTTTACCTCAGAGACCCGGGTCCGGAACATGGATGCTAGGATTGATGCCCTTCCGATTGACAGTAAGGTTTCTGCGGAAATGAACACGGTTCTTACGGCGGAAGTCCTTCCGGACGAAATTCGTAAAACGGTGTTCTCGATGGGCTCTAAGCAAGCTCTGTTAGTAAAC